TGTACAAATTCTATCGTAAATGCAACACTTTATTGTATATTCCTTGTCCTCTTTCTCTCACACTACATGTTTCGGCCGCAAGTGGCCATCATCAGGTGTATTTTTACATTACGTAGCTGTCACACTGCACACAATTTAAAATTTAAGACTCCAGATTTCACAATTGTTCATTGTTGCGTTGTTAATCGATGCCTGATATTCCAGAACTCGTCTTGCTGTTTTTCCGGTTATGTTTAACATCTCTGTTAGTATACTTTCGTTGATTTGGTTAAATTTGTTTTTATAAATCCACAATTTAAATTTAAAATTTAAAATTTAAAATCACGGGGAATACCCGCTCTATGCCTACATGTGCTGCAGCAGCTACTTCTTGCTTTTCGTGCAGGCTCCCTGTGTCGTGCCGCTGCTTTCCTTCAATACGTTTAAATTTTAAATTTAAATAGTGGATTTATAAAAGAAAGTTACCCAAATCAATGAGAGTATATTAACAGAGGTTAACATAACCGGAAAAACGGAAAGACGAGTTCTGGAATATCAGGCACCGATTAAATGAACAATTGTGAAATCTGGAGTCTTAAATGTTAAATTGTGTGCAGTGTGACCGCTGCGTAAAGTAAAAATACACCTGATGATGGCCAGTTGGGGCCGAAACACGTAGTGTCAGAGAAACCCATGTTCGGTGGGTCCCTCGTCACCACGGCATGGCGCGTCCTCAGGTTGCGGATGGAGGAGACACCCCCCAGGTATGGAGGGAAGCTGAGAATAAATTGAATAAGCAGTCGCGTATAGCAGACAAGGGGTGGTCCTCAAGCTTTGGAGTTGGGCGTGGGGCTAACAGCTCCTCACCGTAAAAAATTACTTTGTTACGAAAATGAACACAAAGCCTCGTAGCTGGACGGATTCCTTGGATAAGGGACCTAAGCTAAAGAAAATGGATATGAGATTTGGCACTTGGAATTTTCGAAGTTTGTAAAATGGATCTTAGAGAGATAGGATGGGATGTTATGGATTGGATTGATCTGGCTCAGGATAGGGACCAGTGGAGGGCTCTTGTGAAGACGGTGATGAACCTTCGGGTTCCATAATATGCTGGGAATCCATAAACAGCATGCAATCCTTAGCTATGTTAGTGGATTCCACGAAATCAGCATGATCTCTGCTGAGAACAACCAAGTCTAAAACATGGAAACATTAAAAAAAAATTCATAGTTAGCCAACGGACTCAAAACACTTTTCTCGGATCTTGGAATACCTGAAATACTAGTTTGGATCCTGGAACACCTGAGACACTATTTTTGATCCTATAACAACTGAAACGCTCTTTCAGATCCTACAGCGTCTAAATTATTATTAGTTTTTGTCTAGACTGCAATCATCTCTTTATTTTTACGTGTTTCAGGGTGTAAAAATGAATATAACAAATACAATAAAGGGTTACTTTTACTCTATAGGAATTTTACAGGAACTCGAAGCAAATACCGCGTCGTTTCACAACGACCGCATTTCACGTTACGGTCTATCTGCAAGCAAGAAGACGGTGGAGGAAAACAAGAAAATGTCATACCGAACTGTAATACCCTTAATTCCTTTTGTGTATCCAATTTCAAAATGTATTTACACATAAAATTTCCCACCTCATAATTTCACACTACTCACACTGTTGATTTTAAGATACACAAGATGTAAAATAGATGACGAATCAAGATCAAAGCGTCACAAGATTTATCACCAAGAAATAGGAAATTTTGTTCACAGAATGCACTCACGTGTTTCTTATGATTTATTATTCTATTTAAAGAGCATTGATAAATTAAATCTTTTAATTGTGACTGTGTGTTTTCTGTGAGGTACGAACTAAAGTTTTAAATATAATTTTAAAGGCTTCATAAGAGACCAACCTATCTTCTCGTCAGAGAGGTAGTTACAAAAAGACTATTACCGCAAGGGTTCAGTTGAAAGGAAAAATATGTGGTTGTGGTTATCAAGGGCTTGACGCCAAGACGAACTGATTGGCGATAAACCGCCAGTCGGAAAGTAATTTGGACTCTGACTTTGACTTTGATAATCCCGCTGTTCCTGCAAACAGTTATTAATATAACTTACTAATAATATGAATCAACGAAATCTTTTCAAAAACCCATGCTAATGAGCATTTTTCCGATTCTGAACAAATTTTATGCTTTAAAATGACATACAGAAAATTCGAATTGGGAAGTTCCCACAATTTTTCTCTCCGAATGTTTTAAGCAGTCAGTATGATGATATACTAAATCAAAATTCTACGACCTTTATCTCAATCCATTAATTTAAGCTATTCTAGCTTGTTTACTTGATACAATCTAAACTCTGAGACGGCCAAGTCTATGTACGTATCTTCTAAAAAGGAGAAAAGTCTCCTCCACAAAAACATCTCCATGTAAGATTTGAGGTTTTCACGGCGGTGACTATGAAGAAAGCAGTCTTCTTGGATGTGGCCCCGTATAGATGTGGTGTTAACCGACGTTTCGGAGGAACGTATCGCCTCCATCTTCAGGGTAAAAGGAAAAATAAATAATCCGCGAGCGAAGAGATTATTTATTTTTTCTTCTACCCTGAAGATGGAGGCGATATGTTCCTCCGAAACGTTGGTTAACACCACATCTACACGGTGGCACATCCCAGAAGACTGCTTTCTTCAAAATATCTCCAGTTCTCCCACGAATTTCCCCATTCACTTATCACTTCTCTGTCTTCTTAAGACTGCAAACAGTTAACCTATTGAGAGTCCTACATAGTCACTAGACTTGTTTAGCTCAAACAGCCACTAACCGATCGACCTATAAAACCAATTCTCCCTTCTCCCTTCTCCCTTCACCCAGTTTTCTGATTGATGACCATCGGATACCAAATCACCAGTCCACGGTCGTAAAATTCTATTGTTACTAAAGATCGTGTTTATCCAGGGCTCAAAATAACTTGACAAGGCATCAGGGCAACTAGGCAACCGCAGGATACAGTCGATAAAGATTTGAGTATCCCTTTCGAGGTGAAAGTGATCAAAGCTGGCCGTTACTCCGTGAGATTAGCAACAAGTACCGTTAGAATCAGGATCCAACCTGAGGCATTTACTTAGAAAGGTTCTAGAGAATATTCAGCAAAAAGTAGTGGTTTGAACTAGCATTCGGATAAGAGTATTTGTACCCAAGCAGTAATAGCCTCGCGTTTGGAAACGGGTACCACTAACACAAATATTTCACTGAGGTTTCTTCTGTAGCGAAATTCCGCAGAAAACTCGGCAACAAGTAGCAGTTACATTGATATATTGGGTTTTCGGACTTCATCCATCGTCCTGGTTTTTAAGATAACTAAAAAAAACACGACGTGATTGAGGCTAGCTCTTTCTAAGGGACCCAACAGAATAGGTGTTTTCCTTCACCTGAGGACAGAAACAGATCCAGTTTCCGAAACGTCGTGTTTTTATTAGTTATCTTAAAAACCAGGACGATGGATGAAGTCCGAAAACCCAATATCTCTGTGTGTTATACACAATCAGAATCCTATAGTAAGTAGCAGTTACTTCAAGTATTCTGATGAGGGGAGTAACACTAATAATCTCGAATTTGGAAACGGGTACGACTAGTACCAGTATTCCACTGAGGAAATTTAGCAAAAGTAGAAATTTCCAGTATTCAGATGAGGTTGTATATTACTCAAAATTAAAAAGCCTCCGCGTTTACCAAAAAAAAAATAAATTAATTTTTATCAATATCACACTGAGAATATTTACGTATCGAGGTCACTACGGAAGTTTAGTAACAAGCAGCGGTTATGAACTAGTACTCTCCTCAGGTTATTTATATCCAAATAGCAGTACCCGCTGCGGTTTTTTTTCTGTAGCGCTACAGCCCCAGTGGGCCTAAGCCTACCTCCATGAACTTCTCCGTTCACTTCGGTTTTTCTAGCTCTTACACATTCGGTAGGACTCCTTGGGCGTGTGATCAGCTCGTCGCAAGGCCTCTACCTGTAGACAAACACAGAAAAACGCACACAAACATCCATGCCCTGAGCGGGATTCGAACCCACGATCCCGGCTTCCGAGCGAGCGAAGACAGTGCACGCCTTAGACCGCTCAGCTACCGTGACCGGCAGTGTATAAGAATAATATATAAGAATTCAGTCCGTACATCACAGGAAACAGATCCGAACCCACGATCCCAGCTTCCGAGCGAGCGAAGACAGTACATGCCTTAGACCGCTCGGCTACCGTGACACCCGCTGCATTTAGGAACAGTAATATCCTACTGAGGGTATTACATAAAGAGGTTTTAGCAAATACTCAAGACCAAGTAAAAGTAAAGCTATCCCTGTACCAGGCCGTGAAGGCCCATAAGTTTGTGAGACATTGAGGCTCCCACATTATCTAGTTAATCGGCTCAAAGATGGCGGTAAGGTTGTCAGCCATACGCGCCGGCCGCGCTTTACTCCCCAGGAAAAGTATTTAATTAATTCCTAGTACTCGTTTCTGTTAGGGGCTCTGAAATACTCTTTATTCAGTGTATTCTTATTGGAATGGTAATACATCTTTATGTATAAAAACGCGCTACTAACAATATAATCCCAACTGACAGTAATATAATGATGAAATTACGCCCCAAAATATCTTGAATATCGTTGCCATGATAGAGATGTCTATCTTAAATTTTGTAAGGTCTAGAAACTTATCTACAAACCGAAAACGACATGGAATTTCAGTCTGGGCTTGTCACAGAACATTGAGATTCGTATTATAGTTCAGGAACAGGTGCCGACAGCACTAACATTCAAATGAGGGTACACATACCGAGGTAGTGTTTCTCTCCCGCATTCAGAAGTACAATCATCAGGATCGTCTTAGCAAGATAACATATTAATTGAATTTCCTCAGTAACTACATCACAAGTACCCACAGAGGTCTTTACTCTGGGAGATTGAAGGTACTCAAGTAATTAATTAATATTTGCGATAAGGAGTAGGGTACTTACCCTAGTGCGTTCAACACGTGATGATATCGAAGCGATGTGACTATACGCGTTACCGAACGAGGCTGGAGTTCGCGGGTTACTGCCAAGCCGTCCTCTCTGTTCCGACGCCGACCGACGCTCCCACCCCTCCACACATACGTAGCTTTCCACAGCGCCGCCTGCTATAAGAAACAGGCACATGTCTCTTAGCAGTGTCAATACCCGACAAGAGCGCAGTGACCATAGGGTCACTCGATTGCACTTGGTCTGTTACACACTCCAGTAAGAGACATTCACTTACATATGTCTACGAAATAGAATTTTAGATTAAACATCAAATTATTTTGCAGTTTACTTCGTCCTCTAAATATTTTGCCTCGGAACAGAAAACCTGATTGAAATTCCAAGCTTCTTGAGGGTAAACAAGTTGTATGGTAACCCTTAGAAAAGTTTCATCAAATGACCTTCAAATAACAACAGGTATATTCCAAGAAAATGCTTATTCTTTTTTGTAAAAATCTGTATGTCAAACTAGGTGTTATCTATTAACAGAAACAACACATCTATTGCTTAACAACTTATTGATTTCTTCTACTCTTCACAGTATATGTTTACGAACTTCTCGTAGACGCATAATTCCCTCAGATTCTACTGAGAAAATTGAGTCAATATGTTACTCCCTAATATTCATAGCCACCTACCTAACTAAAAGTTATCACGTATTAAAAGATAATTTCTTAAAAATGCAAAGCTATCCCTGTAACAGACCATGGAGGCCCATTAGGTTCTGAGACGTCAAGGCTCCCACATTTTCTAAATAACCGGCTCACAGACAGCGGTGAATTCAGCCTTATGAGCCGTCCGCCCTTTACTCACAGGAAGATTCCTGATACTCATTTCTGTTAAAGGCTGAGTCGAACCCAGGGCCATAGTGCGGCTGGAAGGATTAGGTAAATTGAAAAAAGAATCCACCTTATCAGGACTCGAACCCGCTACCTTCCGGCTTGTATCGTAGTGCCTCAACCAACTACGTTACCGTATACTACCTATCTGTATACTACCTGTATTCCTTCCAGAACTACAGCTTCAACTTATATTTTTAGATCACTTTTTTTTATTGCTAGTGGGGTGGGACTAAGTCCCTTGTACTGCGGCCACTTCTGGCCTGTTTTACCAGCCCCAGATGATAGGTGAGGGTGACTGTGAAGCAATTGGTGGAATGAAGATTGGCAGGGGAAACCGAAGTACTTGGAGAAAACCTGCCCCAGGGCCACTTTGTCCACCACAAATCCCACGATCGAACCCGGGCCGCCGCGGTGGAAAGCCAGCGACTAACTGCTTGAGCTATAGCGTGGCCTTCAGATCACTTGCTATCCCCCGTTAAATTAACGTCATATTTAATCACGTGGTCGCAAAAGTATCTAGCTTCATATTTTCTTACAACCAGCTGTCTCAGAAACAGGTTTCGTTTCTTCTTTTTAGGCCCCCCTGTTTTCTGAAATATTTTCCCCATCCCTCTTCATTAATCACGTGATAACTGAAACATTTCTCATGTCCCATTTTCAGAGCGGCTTGCTTGCCAAATATTTTTTTCTCTCCCTTTAACCACGTGTTCACACTTGTTCATGATCACCTGTGTTCATTACCCGCGCGATGACACCATACAGGACAGAACCCCGCTCAGTTGTTTCGTTCAGTCATAACGTCATTTCGGGCTCATCGCCCGCTGTGGGAGCTGCATCAGGGCTTCCAGACACACCCGAAGACATCAACCCTGTTGATTCCAACTCCGCCGTTGGCAGACTTTCAACGTTCTATGCAGCGCATTACCGACAGGTGGAGGTACACAAACTTTATTACGTTTCCTTAATGTCTGCTCACATGCAGAAGGGAATTTACATGCCGAAAATTGCACAACAGCACAATCACAGTGACCGCGCTGTCTAAGGCATGAACTTACTTCCCTCGCTCGAACGCTAGGTTCCTGGGATCGAATCCAAGACGAGGTATGGATATCTGTGTACGTTTATGCTGTATGTGTTGTTCTGTGCGTAGGCAGCGGCTTTATGGCGGGTTGATCGCCCTTCCAAAGAGTCCTACCGAATTTGTATAGACTGAGAAAATGAAAAATCTTCCCAAAGCCCACAAGGGCTGTAGAGCCATAGATACAGAAATATGTAGATATATAGGCAGCACACAACGCCGCCAGTAGCCAAACTATATAGCCTAGAATGATGGGATTAATAGAACTGGAAGAAATTTGAAAGGAAACTCTCATTTGCTAATTATGATACAATCCTGACGTTTGCCTAGAGGAACTGAGGAAACTATGAGAGGTCTCATTCAATACTCCCCAATATCCAGACCGAGGTTCGAATCGAGTCCATCCCAAATGAGACCTACCAGCGTCACCGCTACTCCCACAATTCCGGTTATACGAGGTTGTGTTTACCGCTGGCAGTTTGATCGCGTTTGGAGTATAGCGTCTCACAGGGAGAGAACAGTGTGCAACTGATCAGGAAAATTTAATTGATTTTCACTCTACATAATACAATGAAATGTTTACAGCACTGTCCTGGATCAGAAAGGAAGAAAACTGCTTTAGTTCCTCATTAGATAATGTTCGTTTAATTTGTTACGTAACTGGTTAAATGATTGGTTAGTTAGTTTGTCAATTACTTGGCTCATTATTTGGTTGAGTAACTTGCCATTTGATTATTTAGGTGTTTAATTTATACTCACCTAGCTAATTTGTTTGTTACGTAGTTATATAGCTGGCTTGTTAGTTAATTGTATACGAAGACACGCAACAACTAACTAACTCCACTAAGCTATGTACTTCTTGAGAAACCAATAGTTTCTCAGCCATTCATAAAATTTCAGATATTTTATGAAACCCGAAGGTTCATTATTGTGTTCACAACAGCCCATCGTTGATTCCTAACCTGAGCCAGTTGAATCTACTCCACAACCTTACTTCCTATTACTTTAGGATTCATTTTGACATCATCATCACATATACGTCTAAGTCTTCACATTGGTCTGTTTCCTTCATAGCTTCAGTCCAAAAATTGTATGCGTTTTTCTTCTCTCAGGTGTGTGCTACATGCCCTGCCCATGTAATCCTTCACTACTGATCATCTTCATATCGTCTGAAAAATGCAGATTATGAAGTTCATACAAATATTACGTTGCTGGGCATTTGCCATCGTCCTGTTGTCATTTAAAACACAATGTTTCGGAGACTGGATTCTACCTCCTTCTTCAGGTAAAACCTACAAATTTGGGTTCAATCGATAGGTTGGAAAAAGGAGACTAGCTCAATCGAATGGGGCCAACTGAGTAGGTTTCACTTGAAGACGGAGAAGGGATTCAGTCTCCGAAACGCTGTATTTTAAATAAAAACAGGACGATGGATAATGTCCAGAAACATACGTAATATTTATATTAATGTAACGACGTCACAAATGTTTAGATCTAATTATAAATTTCATCTTTATGCAAATTTTCCAGGATCCTGTTACTTCATGGGAGTCGCGATAGCTTACTCGGCAGAAAGATGGGCTACGCACTCGACGGCCGAAGTCCTATTCCCGACAGGGGGAAGAGATTTTTTTCCTGCTACACGGCGTTCAGACCGGCTCTGAGGCCCGCTTTTTATACAACGGGAAACGGGAGGTTCTTTTCCGTGGGTAAAGGGACAAAGGCTTGACTAGTGCCTAAGTTAAGAAAATGGAGCTCTAACTTCACTTCTCCATACGTCTTCGTAGCGTGATGTTTAATTAATTAAGCACAGCACAACTTTAATTTTACTTTTTTATCTATTATTTCATATGTCTTAGGTTCAAATACTTCAGTACCCTGTTCTCAAAAACCCTCGGTCCATATTTTACCCTTAATATGACAGACCGCTTATCACAGACATGAAATGTCTTCGGCCGCTCCAACACTGGGGTCGTGTGTTCGAATCACACTTAAGGCATGCATATCTTGTTTGTATTAGGTATCGGCCTTGCGAAGAGCTGATCCTCAGTCCAAGGAGTCATACAGACTGTTTTAGGATTAAGAAACTGAAGTGAAATAAAGTGTTTCTCGGAGCTCCAAATGGGAGAAAGAGGAATGGAAGAAGAAGGTGAGAGACGAAGTTTTACACCCATATGAAACTATTTGTAAAATTACAATGTCTTATATTCTGAAGGTTAGTTGTAGAATATACAGAATCAAGAAAGATCTTGAACCAAACAGCAGATGTAATTTGCAGAATGTAATGTTTTATTTCTCCCCATTAAAGCCTTTAAAGTTGTATGATACTGCATAGAGAAACAGTTATCAGAACTTTACATTACTCGGAACACAAATAAGTGCTGTGACTCTTTCAGAAAGGGTTTTATGGTAACGTCTGTCTGATAAATGCAATCTGTCGGCGAATGTGCCCTGTGAGTTTGGTGGGATTCACCGTGCAATAAAAGTCCAACATATAAAGAGACACAAGGAGCGTGTGTCTGCATACAGAATTCTCGGGAGCTCACCGCTGTGAGTTGCTTCTCTCGGACGTCAAGGAGATAAGCAAGATTGGCAAAGCAGGGGTGTCATATACTTCAGGGCCCTTTCACATAATGACTCCCTACAAATTAACGATTTAACTAATCATTAACTAACCGACTGATCGTCTAACGCCGAATTAAAATATCAAGTAGTAACACTTTAGATTTTTATTCGGGAGATGTTCGGTTTAGCCGGTCACGGTAGCCGAGCGGTGTAAAGCATGCACTGACTTCGCTCCTTTGGAAACCGGGATCGTGGGTTCGAATCCCACTCAGGGCATGGATGTTTAGTTTGTGTGTGTGTGTGTTTTTCTGTGCTTGCCTTGAGACGAGCTGATCACACGCCCAACGAGTCCTACCGAATGTGTAAGATCTAGAAAAACCGAAGTGAACGGAGAAGTTCAAGGATGTAGGCCTAGGCCCACTGGGGCTTTAGTGCCAAGGTTAAAAAAGATGTTTGTTTTGATTTTCTGTCAGGACACCATCTCTCCTCACGGAGTTTTACCGTGACATTCTGTATCTCTTTTCATAAACACCGGAGAGTCCCTTTATTCGGCCATGGCCGATTCCTCCTGAATCCTTTTAAATTCATATTTCATTATCGAACGGCACTACCCATGCTTCATCCTGAAAGTAAT